AGCAGCAGGTGGAGGTAGAAGTGCAGGGGAGAGGCACACAATCCGGCCCACTGGACATGCTGCATGGCTGGCCACCCACTCCATCCCATCATCCCCTTGCTAACCTGTGGCCACAATTGGGCAGGTAACCACTTGTTCAGAGGGCCGGATCAATGCCTCACGTCCGTGCCTTTGCCTCTGCCTGATGCTGGTGCTGCCGCCTGCAAGGTGAGGTAGGTGGTGGAGCAGGGCTGCTGCCATGCCACAACCTTTGTGGACTTGACTCCTACAGTTCAAACTTGTCCTCCAGCTCTTGCACACATGCAGGATGAGCCTCCAGCTGGCCGCACCATCCATGACTGCCCCGGTAAATGGGAAATGCAGGGAGCCTCTGTTCCAAGAGGAAGCTGGGATTCCCCTCTCCACCTGGACCTCCACAGGCGACCTCGACAAGAGTGATTTTGAGTTGGCTACACTGCTGATGTGGTCCTCAATGAAATTGAGTTTGACACCCCTGATTTAATGGTAGATTTAAATGGAATAATATTTTGACCCTTAGGCAAGATGAGTGCAAAAAGAAAGAGCTATTCTGTCGAGTTCAAAAACGGAATCATGGAGGACTCTCAGGGAAGGCAAAAATCTTACAGCTTTCTGCAAAGAGAAGAGCAACCAGGATGATTAGGAGACTGGAGACTAAAACATATGAAGAACGGTTACAGGAACTGGGCTTGGCTAGTCTAGTAAAGAGAAGGACCAGGGGAGACATGATAGCAGTCTTCCAATATCTGAGGTGCTGCCACAGAGAAGGGGTAAAGCTATTTTCTAAAGAGCCCGTAGGCCAGACAAGGAATAATGGATGGAAACTGATCAAGGAGAGATTCAACCTGGAAATAAGGGGAAACTTTCTGACAGTGAGAACAATCAACCAATGGAACAGCTTGCCCTCGGAAGTTGTGGGGGCACCATCACTTGAGACTTTCAAGAAGAGATTGGACTGCCATTTGACAGAAATGGTGTAGGATCTCCCACTTGGGTGGGGGGTTGGACTAGATGACCTACAAGATCCCTTCCAACTCTGATTATCTGTTAAAACTTAGAGGTTGGATCTCTGAATGGTCTGAAAATGGCGAGCAGAGTACGATAATCTCAGTCAACAGGTAGACGAGGGAAATGCTAAGAAGCGCAGGTGTGGATCAGGTCGGCAACCATTTTTTCCTGAACTGGACTAATTACAAAATCCCAAAAAGAAAAGAAAAAGAAGACAAAAACAAAACCTATATCTCATGTGTGTTCACCTGGAGTTGCTCAGTCTCTGGGGTGGCCCCATGGGCCATATCTGGGCCCTTTGCGAGTCAGATCCACCCTGTGGGCCTTGAGAAGGGAGGTGGGGTTGGATTAAAAGAGATCCCTGCCAACTGTTATTCTGTTACAACAAAAAGGTGGTGTGAGGGGGCGAAGAGGAAGGGAGGAGAGAGAAGGGAAGATTATTCTCTGGTCAATTCAGCTATTTTGCCATGATCATGAGCCTTCCCAGGAATTTGACCTGCAGAATGATTGATGGTTTGGAAGTGAATGTTTTCCCTAGCTTGTGATGGAACATGGGCCATGGTTGTGAGAGCACCAAATCCTGACCACTAGACCACCAGGGAAGTACAAAGTGGCTTTCATCCCTCTCGCTTCTCATTTGTAGGGGTAAATGTCAAGGTTTTTTTTTTTTTTTTTTGAAGCTTGGGTTTCAGAAGAGTTTTTCTTGTATTATCATACAGGAAAAGAGAAACCTAGACATAAATTTACATCTCGAGACAGAATTTCAACAGCTTTGTTAGAGGTATAGGGATACCATGCAGGGTCCCCAATCCTGTGACCAGGGTTTAAATACCAGCTAGCGCATGCCTTCTTTCAACTTTTACTCTTCTGGGATGTGCAGACACATCACCAGACCAAGTTTTCATCCAAGATTTTGTTTATAGTGAGGGAAAAGGAGCCACACTACGTAAACCAAACGAACTCTGAGGGTATGAATCTCCACACTGAGGAAGGCTGATGCCAAACCCTGTGCTAAGTCTTTATGGTGTAAGGGGTTAGCACATCTGCCTGTTAATCAGCAGGATGGTGGTTCAAGCCCACCCAGGGATAGCCTGCTTGATGAGATGATCCCAGGTTGTGAAGGTGATGGTATTGGGGGCTGTTCATCTGAGGCTTTGATTCTCACACTGTCAATGCTTTTTTCACTAGGATTTAAATATCTGAATTAGTTTTACCCTTCAGAATGCAAAAGGGGGAGGAAGATTCAACACCTTTTTTGAAAATTGGATTGGCCGCAGACAAGCACAGGGATGGTATCTCTCTTATGGTTAATCCAATCAGCACAAGCCTATATTGAAAACTATCCTGAAAGAGCTGTATCTCATCACAATGCTTTTATTAAGCAATCCACTGCTGTCTTTATTGAGGCCTCATGCTAGACCTCAGTATTATTACTGTCTTAGTGTCCTCCAGCTGTCTTGTAAAGATTTTTGATTTTTTTAAAAGATTAAGTTTGATACTTAACTGCAATTGCTTATATGTTAGAGCCAGATGCACTGACCCCTTGCACCAACTCCAACCAAACAAGACACTAGAATATAAATGGAGGACAAATGCCACTCTTTACTAGCAGTGATGTTGTTGTCTGGTTTGGGCAATGAAATGTCTTCAAGAAAAGAACCAAACCTCTGAGAGCACCAAGGACCCCACAGAAGATAACATGAAGAAATGGAATGAAAAGAATGGGCTTTCTTCAAGAGTGGGAAGTTAACTCTGTTCTTTTTAAATTGTTTCTTAAACACTATTTTCCCTCTGTTCACATTTTTTCTTTTGCTGATTGTGGCTAAATCTTTTTCTTACAGTGCCATCTCCAAAGGCAGACTAATCTCAAACCAGCCAAGTCTTCAGTTCTTTTGGCTATAAAAAGTACTTTCTTTTTAACTAAAGGTCTTAAGCTTAGTATTCATATTTCCTGCAGCATTTTCCTCCTCAGCACCTAAATAAAACTTGCTTTTTTCTTCAAGGTATGAGAGCTTTATATTTAGTTTTCAATATTTGCCTTCCTTTATTTTGTAATTCTATTTTTTCTCCAGTCACATGTAGCATTTTATTCTCCCACTGTTCATTTCTCCATCATGCCTTCTTTTGAGGTAAAATTTCTAAAAGGCCCACAGGTTTGAGCTTTCTCTCCATTTTGGAACTTTTTTTCTTTTGATAGCTCCTTTCCATCAGGATAATTTCCTCAGGATTATTTTATTATTGCCAGTTACCTCTTGATGTTTGTTTCCAACCCTTCTTAGCCACCAGAGATATGGATTTGACAAAAGCAGCTGTAATAAAAGACGTTATTAAAGAAAAATAAATACAAGCCTTAATTTTCCTAACCTGTTCATTTCCTCCCTGCATTTCTGCCATTCCCCCATATATCACATCACTTCAGGGCTGAGTTTGTCAACAACCACAAGACACAAGTTGTGTTTCAAACAGAAGATCTGACAGGATTTTTACTCATTTTTGAAGCCTCTTTAAATTTCTTCAGACCCTTCAGAGTAGCTGTTCTTGAGGAAAGCGACTTTTCTCCACAGTCTCCACAGAGATTTTTCTCAATATTTACAAGATGATTCTTAGGCACTTAAGAGAGGAAAATCCAGAAACAGCCATCTCCTTTTTAGAGAGGTAATGTAAGAGGGACACTTTCATTCTACTCCAATGCCTATGATCCCAGGCCCGCATGAATATATCCTCAGCCCTTCAAGGTTCCTCAGGATTGCTCGCAGGATCCACTTGACAGCCGTTGGGAAAGCTGAGCGACCCGCCCCCCTCCTCCGTCCAATGACAATGGGAACTGAGCATGCGCTCTGTCCAGAGAGACACGTGCTGCCCGGGGCAAGACTTTCCTTACCGCGTCCGACTCAGTTTCCCCTCGCTTAGGCTGAGCCTTTCCAGAAGGCTGCGGGGAAATTTTACCGGATGTGTGACTCGTTCAACAAGTGGCGGGCTTTTCTTTGGCGGTGGAAGCGTGCAAGAAGAGAAGGAAAAGTTCATTAGGTTCGGAGTTGTGAGAAGAGGGTAGCCCGGGGTCCCAAGTTTTCCTCCGGTTCCTGTGCACGCACGAGCCTTAGCAAAGCTTAAGGACCCGCTGCATTGCCCCCCAAGGTGGGGGTGGGAAGCGAGGATTGCCAGAAAGGAGAGAGCCATTTCCCCTCCATTTCCATGGGAAAACCTCTGCAGGGAAGAAGAGGGAGTGGTTGGTTTTGCAAAACACAGAGTTGTGCTTCCAAATCAGCCTGGACAATTTCCTGCAAATTTCCTGGTCCTGTTTCCAGAAGGGGTTTCCCTCGCCTCCCCCTTCTTAGGCCGAGAGAAGCTAACAGTTCCGTGTGTAAAGAGTTGCGTGCAAGGCGTGAGGGGACTGGAATTCGGTTTCCTCCTTTCCCGCCTTTCCCCACTATCTCTTTGGGTGGCTCTGCCGGCAGACAAATAAGGAACCTGTTGGAAAAAACGGCAGTGGTGGATGGTGTTTGTTAAGTCTGGCTTCTGGATTTGATTCAGAAGTTTGGGCCAGGAGGTTAATGGGGTTCTGTTGCCTCGGTTGTTTTTTTTTACTAGAAATTGAAGTGCTGTTTGATCTCCTTATTAAATCGATTTAGATAGGCTGATGTGAATTTTTGTGACAGGAGACGTTTATAATTTGGATTGTGCAAAGGGTAGTTCTTTATAGGCAGCAGTAGGAATGATTTGAAGAAATAGTTAGGAAATAGAAATCCAAAACATATTGTAAATATATTATCCTGTATATTGATTCCTTGATAGAAGTTGAGCCAGAAGAGTGCTACCAAATTTTCCCCAAACGCAGATAAGTCAGGCTATTAAGATTTCCCCACTTTCGTAGGGTTCATAAGAATTTCTTAGTTTATTGATTTGTTTGCTTAAGAATGTTTGTTTAAACACTATGTTTTCCATTTCAAATCTGAAGCTGGAAATCTTTCCTGGTTCCTCTGGAGACCGAAGTATCTTGTGAGGGAAGAGGGCTGAATGGCCTTAGGAGACTTAGCCAGATCTCTTGTGTTTAGTCAGACCTGGGGAGATGCATGGTTCCATTTTGGTGCTGGATTAGAGACCAGAGAGAAGACTAAGGGACAACGCCCAGCAGATGCAGGAGCTGGAAAAGGCCCTCCAGCTGCTCAGCCTTGGAGCTGTGGGAAGAATGGAACAAGTCCTGGGCAAAAGAGTCAAGAAGAAGAAGAAGCCAGTAATTCAGAGGTGCAATGCTGTGACTTCAGAAAAGTGCAGTTCCAAGAGGGGAGGAGTCCCCGAGATGTTTGCAGTCAGCTTCACCACCTTTGCCATCAATGGCTGCAGCCAGAAAGACACACCAAGGCTCAGATGCTGGACCTGGTGCTCCTGGAGCAGTTCCTAGCTGTCCTTCCCCCAGAGATGGAGAAATGGGTGCGGGAGTGTGGAGCGGAGACCAGTTCCCAGGCGGTGGCCCTGGCCGAAGGCTTCTTGCTAACCCAGAAGTCTGAGAAGATGCAAGAGTTGCAGGTGTGATATGTAATCATGGCAAGTTCTAAATGCATTTGTCAATGTCTCTCTGGTATAATTTTCTGGGATTATGAACTCTTAAGACCTATTGTACTCTCAAAGGATGTATTTGGGGCAATACCTCTATTCTTGCTTTCCAAATTCAGTGATGGACATTGGGGTCTGCTAGATTGAGAGTGCGGTATGGTAATTCATTTCCATCTCTGTACTCTTCCTTTCTTTATTGTGCCGCATCATTTCTAGAAATCTTTGGAAGCTGTGACCGAGTATCCCAAGGAGAGGATAGATTCATTCAAACCTTCCCAAGACCTGCAGTTAAGGGAGAGCTTCCAGAAAGATCAAAGTCAAGATGTGATGCCAGGTAAGAGAGGCTTTTTCCATGTGATGTGAGGTTTGGATGTCCCGCCAATTCTTTTGGTTATCTTGAGTGGAATCTGCTTCTGGCTGTTTATTGATAACAATCTGCTTTCACCATTTCTTTTGGTCTCACAGATAATAGAAAGCTGTCCTCAATATTTTTAGAATCATCTCTTTGTGTTGGAGCTGAAAGAGTGGCTGCAACTCTGCCACAGGTAGGAGAAGAAATATTGGAAAGGCCCATGAAACTTGGATGGGTTTTATTTTGTTCTGGAGTTTAATGTATAATATTGCTATTTCTAAGCAAGGCAAATTTTAGAGCAGGTCATTATAAATTCACACTGAAATTAAGCTAACTTTTCCTTCTGGTAAACTTTCTTCACCCTCCTGCTTCAGGGTCAGATTTAGTTGACCGATGTTGTCTTGACCAGAGATGTTCTTTCAGTCTCCAAGGGTCATTCTCACATACCATTGCAGGCTCTCCCAACATTTGCATGAAGGTGTGGAGTGGGGGTAAGGGTTGGCCCCTCAGTGAATACACTAAACCATTGGCAAGGATATCAGATGGGTTTCCTATATGTCCTTCTCCCCACCCCAGAAAGAATTGGAGCCATTGATAAGTAGTGGGTTTAAGACCCAACTATTAATTGACCAAGAAAACTATTTTAGTTGGCTTCACATTCCAAATCCTTCTAACTTGATTAAATATGATTCAGTCGTGCCGTCAGCCAGAAACTTGGAGATCTCATTTTGAATTCTGCAGAAGATGCCCATTTTGTTCACTGGATCTCTCTCTTTGAATTGGTGAAAGAAAACTGCCAAATTATTCCTGGGGTTGTTTGTTAATAGGAAAACCTGTCTCCCTGTTCAAGATGTTTTGTCCTTTAAGGAAGTGGCTGTGTATTTCTCCGAGGAGGAGTGGTTGCAGCTGGATGCTGACCAAAAAGCGCTGTATGGAGAAGTCATGCTAGAGATTTCCAGGAATTTGGCTTCTCTAGGTAAGAATCTCTATTGTAGAGAAGACACGGGGGAGGGGGTTTAGATATTATATTACTTTTTATTCATAACTTACCTTTATTATTTTTTGTAAATAACTCAAAGCATCAGACATACAAAATACTCCTTCCTCTTCCTATTTTCCCTACAACAAAACCCTCTGACATAGGCTGAGCTGAGAGAGACTGCCTCAGGTAAGATCATCAGCCAGACCAGACATGTCAAACACAAGGCCCATGGGCGAAAACCAGCCTCCGATGGGCCCAGTTCTGGTTAGCAGAGCCACCCCGGAGATTGCGAGGCACTGATCCCTGCTAACATGGCCAGGTGCCCCTGGGACACACAAAGGATGGAATGAGTGTATGGGGACCAACGGTGTCCAGCAGCCGCCACAGCCCACCAATTCCTTGGCTGGCGCACTGTGGGGCTACACAGCCCATGCAGCGCAGGTGAATACTAGTGCTGAAACCACCAGGTTGGCCCTCGAAACAGCAGGCAGAGGTACGTGATCTGGCCCGCGATGGACCCATGTCTGGCCTACGGGCCTTCACCGGAGATGGTGAGGGACTGATCCTCACTGTTCATGGCCAAGCCCTGTAGGGTGCCCCTTGTGGGCACAGGAGGCAGCAAGCGTGTGGGGCAGGGGTGTCTGGGTGCAGCCCGTCGCCCCATTGGCCAGTGCACTCTGGGGCTGCTCAGCCCATGCAGCACAAATGAGTCCAACTGCTGCAACAGCTGGGCTGGCCCTCCAACCAGCAGATGGAGGCAGAATTGCGGGGGAGAGGTAGCCATGTGACGTCTTCAGCGGGCCAGATCACATGCCTCACCTCCGTGCCTCTGCCTGCGCTTGATGCAAGCTGAGGCAGGTGGTAGGTAGGGGTGCTGCCACTCCCAGACCCTTACGGGCTTGGTCCCCTCAGTTCAATCCTGTCCTCCAGCTCTTGTGCATACGACCGGAATGCGAGTGACTTCAAGCTGGTCACACCCACCCACCTCTTCCCCAGCGAAACCACAATGCTGATGTGGCCCTTAGTGAAATAGAGTTTGACACATCTGATTTAATGGTAGATTTAATTGGAATAATATTTTGACCCCTAGGGAAGATGAGTGCAAAAAGAAAGAGCTATTCCGTCGAGTTCAAGAAAGGAATAGTGGAGGATTCTCTGGGCAGGAATCTTACGGTTTTCTGCAAAGAGAAAAAGTTGGATCTCCGAATGGTCCGAAAATGGCGAGCAGAGTACAATAACCTCAGTCATCAGATGGATGAAGGAAATGCTAAGAAGCGCAGATGTGGATCAGGTCGGCAACCATTTTTTCCTGAACTGGAAGATATCAT